TATCCTTATCTAACTTCTACTCCGTACCTGTACAACACAAGGTTTTTTCCAAATGCCAATGGAGCAAAACAAATACAAGTAAGCCATGCAGTCACTGAGGGTTTTCTCCACCAGCTCTTTTCCTGCAAGAGTGGCAGAAGTGAAGCAATCCCACTGACTTGACTCCCAGGCAGACTGGAAATAAAGAGTAGCTCCCAGTCTTGGTAAAATAGTGAACTATGAGTGTATGAAATTAAAGTGAAGCAGTGATCAGAAGATCCCTGAAGAGGTGACCCATTGCAAGGCACCACCTTTACAGTGTATTGCCACCTTCCCCCAGCCCAGCTGTTTCTCCAGCTCACAGCTGACACAACCCCTGACTTCCAGCATGCCCAGGTGCTTTGGCTTCCCTTCTCTGGTACTGGTTTAATTCTTTTCTCAACATTCTTGCTGCTAGGGTCATTCAAGGGGATAGTTAAAAAAACATTTCTTAAATATTACAAATAAATCATAGTATCATAGAATGTTAATGGGTTGTTATGGACCTTAAAAACCATATAGTACCACCCTCCCTGCCATGGGCAGGGACACCTCCCACCAAACCAGGTTACTCAAGGCCTTAATCAAGCCTGGCCTAGAACACTGCAGGGCTGGGGCATTCACAACTTCCCTGGGCAACCCATTCCAATGTCTCACCACTCTCACAGTAAATAATTTCTTCCTACATCAATATGGAAACAGTTTTTTCTTGGCTTTATTTGGTACTGGATGTGGAAAAAAATTGAATGAAAAGGTTTTCCATGAAGTAGCTTTCAATTTTCTTCCAATCTGAAATCAACTGCTCCATTTAGTTTAGTCATTCAGTATTGACTACTCCAGCAACATGGAGCTGAACTGATTCAACATATCAGCAGCTGGGCCTCTCCTGGTGGCTTTTTGAAATCCAATTTCATGGCAGTGCAGTGCCTGAAGCATTGCTCTGCAACTACTTCTTAGCTCTCATTCCCAGCCATCTAATTGCTACAGAGCCTCTCACCCAGGCTTCTTCAAAAATAGTGCTGAAAGCTCAAGTTTTGTGCACCAGAAAAAAAAAAGTCAACTTAGAATCCTTGTAAACATTCACAAGATTAAATTACTTTTCTTGCTGGTGCCACCCAAGTCTGTGCAAGAGAGGCCCATACCATTGCAGAACATAAACTTCCTCTCACTTCATTCTCATTCCAAGCCTGTCAATCTCCTAATGCTTTTGCCATAAGTTTTAGTGGACTGCATGTCAAGTAGAGAGCATTATCCCAGTTGTACAGGGATTGTTTGGACTGCAACAGTTATTTCTGAATGAAAGTACTGATAAATTGCTAACTGTTTTCATACAGATCTCCACTGTGGTTGCTAGATTACTGGGTTTACTGGTGAGTCCTAGGGCTGTATATGTATATTATCAAAGCAAAACAACATTTAGTACAAAGAAGTGATTCATAAGATCCCATGTTGTTAAATTACACCTTGAAAAGCACAGAGATCCTAATTTTTAACTCTGCTCTTTCCTCTCTTCACTGTGACTAATGTTCTCAACATCTGCTTTAATATGTTTCTTAATTTTTTCTCTTTGCTGATATTAAAACAATGTAGAGCAGAGCTTTTTGGTACCTGCCCTAGACTATTAATGATAGTGTGATATATGCTTTGTATTAACAGACCTAAACATCTACACTTCCTGTGTTCTGAACATTTGGAAGTACTAATATACTTTAAATTCACTACAGAATGTTAAATAGACTGTAAGGATTTTGAATAAAAATGAACTTCTGATAAAAATGAAAAGTATTTATTTTTCAAATGTCTGTCACCACATCTGACCTACATGACAGTAGTTTACTTCTAAAACTCACTCATATGTTGTTTCATTTTTTTTAATGATTCTTTTATGGTCAGGAGCAAATCTGCTGCTCCTAATATATACTTAGAGAAAAATATTGTCTTATAAAAAAATTTTCTGCCGTCTGTTAATTAAAATTTCATAAAACTAAATTATTACAACAAGGAAAAATTACTTTAAATTGATGCTATCTTCAATGGTGTCTTTTTTAAATTAAGTCTTACCTTCTCCATAATGAACAAACAATTTTCATTACATGATAGTTCATAAAAATAGTTATGATTTTATTTCAGTTATGCTTTATCAACAAATATATAATTTGGTTTACAAATTCTTTCAAAGGAATCAAGGCCTCTTGCATGTAGGGAAAACTAGTCTTACATTTTAGCTGAACTTATAAAAGATTGTTATAAAAAGTAGGTTTCTGCCATTAGGGTATTCTGAAGAGCAATAGAAAGACAGCCAGAATATTCCTTAGTTTAAGCAATTCTTATGTAACCACCCAAAACCAGACAGTTTCATGAAACTGTAAATTTGGGTCCAAACACAAGCCAGATAATCCACTCCTCAGAAGCTGTAATTATTTTAATGAGAGATGGAGGAATGTTCTTATTTTCACTTCTCTGATTCTACTAATGCATAACTGTAATTCATTAATTCAGGGTCAGACAATGAGCCTTTGAGCAATTATTCACATGAGTGGTCTCACAGAATTCAATGTCTTCATTTAATGTGCCATTAAAATGGTACATGGGTGCACTTAACTAAAGTAAACATTAGTTCACTGCAACACACAACAGGTTGCACTGTAAAAAGTGGAAAGGTTACTCAGCCACTGAGTAAGCAATTGAGAACACTGAGACAGAAAAATGGCATCATGAATTTATCTTTTATAAGAAAAGATTTTGCTGAAAAATTACCTGAGCCTTTTACCTAAGTCAGTCCATTTCAGAATTTCAGAGATTACTCTGCACAGTTTACAAAATCAAGACAAGTCCCAAGTAAGGAAAGTCTAAAAAGAAATTCTAAAAATACTTAGGAATTATGCTGGAGAATTTTAAAGAGAAAGCCAAAATCATCCAGATGCAGAGGCAACTCAGTCTCCTCTGTAATCTCACTCTGTGTTTGTGTCACCCACCACAGCAGGCACCTTGTGCAGATGTCAGAGCTACTGTGGGTCCTTGCTGAAGTACAGCACAAACCCAGCACATCTCAAGGAAATTAGATGTTCTCTCATTCTTGATCATGCCTCCTAGTCCAATGCTCTTGTAATACATACATGTTTGGCTCAGATAAAGAAATTTCATTATGTTTAATATGCTAATGAAAAACTGGATATAAAAAAATAATTTTCTACCTGCATCTCTATCTTTCTCTATTGCACAGCTTATGACCAAAATTTTGCTGGCAGATTTAGGATGTTTTTTGCTTGAAAGATGGCTTAAAACCAAGTGGCATGAGCTAAATGCCTGAGATCATCTCCATATGCCTAATTTGTTTGTATATTTTTAAAGCACAGAGTGCTGAAAGAGAAGACAGCAGAAGCAGAGACATTTCCTCACACCAGTGCAGTTTGCCTCCCTTGCTGAAGGCAGGCTTTATTTTGCCACAGTATTGAACAGAGCAATTTGGAAATGTGTGCTACTCCCTGGCTTACCTAGGAGCCTGCTGATTTCCTCAGCACAAATGAAAGTCCAAATACCAAATACTTGTCCCAGAGGCACTTCAAGAGTCCCAAATCTGTGCAAGTACAATACCATCAAGGTCTAAAAGACATTGCAGATTTTCTTCCTCATCAAGAGTAAGGTATTCAATAAATTTTAGAGACAAATGTCCTTCAAGGCTGAAGATAAAGGCTAATGGACCTGGAATTAGGACAGATTAACATCATCCAATTTTAAAAGGTTTTGAAGGGAGTATGACTTCAACCCAAAACCCAGAATTCATGCCTCTCATCACCATCCCACGCTATCATACCAGAAATTATCCTCCCCTGCCTCACATCAATTTGAGCCAAAATATTAATTCACTCCCCAGGGACCATTTCTTTGCTATGTTCTGTACAGACATATGTGTAAATCAGTCCAGCTGCAATAGTTCTGTATCTGGCATGCAAATAGCAGGTGTTCATGAAAATTTTAATTGGCATTAATGCTGGACTGTAGAGTGGGCAACACAGAAGAGTAGCGATCTTGTCTCTTGAGGTATTTTTGGAGCTAGGGAAGCTCTTTAAGCCGGAAAAAGCTGTTCCCCCAGAGGGCGATAAAGAGCCAGCACCTATCCTGACGTGCCCTTGGTGGATTGTCAAAGCCTCCGACAATCCCCCTGCCTCCATCAGGGGGAAGCTCCCCTTTACCGGTGCACAGTTTAAAGCCCTGAGCACAAACAGTTCTGGACATCAGCTAGGGTAGAAAGGACAACATACATCCTTCTGTAAAGTGCATTGATTACAGGTATTGATATGTATTACTGTCATAAATAATAACACTCTTTGTGGATTTGTGTGCAGAAGAGCTCCATCCTTCCTCTTCAAATATGTAACATATATGGAAACATAAATAGCCTTTGTTAGTCCTCTCACGTTTATCCACAAAGAGACATCATAAAACTGAAGTTTTTTACATTAATTCTTGTGAAGACGTAACATTCCTCTTATTTGTTCTTGAAATTATTCAACTAAATGCAACTTGTCTGTATGAAAATCCAGAACTAGAGCATTGCTTCAGGATAAGATACTGGAGAAACCACTGCACCATAGAAACTATTACATGGGGGGGTTTAAACTTTTTTTTTAGTTGTGGTAGAAGGATGTTTAAGCAAGGCTTTAAATGGCCTTCTAGGGTCCAGAGACTTTTTATCCTCATTATTTTTAGCACTGCAAAGACATCAGTAACTCCAATGGGTCATGCACCAGGCATTTTGCTGGGCTAGATCCCCAAATGCTATTCAGACCAGTTAAAACAACTCTGTGTCACCACACTGGTGCGCTTTTCTGTAATAATTATTGACAAAAATGCAATCAGCTGAAGAGAAAGAAGAACAGTCCACTGATACTATTCCTTAGTCTCTGAACTGTGATGTGCTTGAATCACTCAAAGAAGTTTTCTAGTATAAAAAGCAAAATGAAGGTCAACAAAATACTTACAGTTCTTTGCATTAGTAAAGGAGTTTCAGAACAACCTATCCCTTCATCATTAAAATTTGATTCCATATTGATTATGTCTTCAATAACTTCTTCCATCTGATAAAATAATATTTTAAGACAAATCAGTACAAATAATAATGGAGAAAAGTTATTTTTAAAATACAGAGGATTCATCTTGAATATCTATTACAGCAACAAAACAATTTCAGAAGTTTATATCTTCTGAATAATAACTCAAATTCTGAATTCTGAATAATATAATTCAAACATTTCTATACAATATTCACATTTTTTTACTTCTTGTGAAAACAGTTGTGGTTTAGCAAGATACATCTTTCTCTTAAACACCAGCCCATGCCTGTATTTAACCCCTTATTGCAGCACCATGATCAGAGGACAGGAATGCATTGTTAAGCTGTAACTGTGACCTATCATCTTGATCAAATGTCAACTTGATCACAGTGAATTGCTGCACTGGTGCAGGAAGACTGAAAGGAGCCTGTGGTTCTGCAACTGTATGAGTCACTCCAGGTTTGGTGTTACACGTGTCCCTCTTGGGCAGGTAGAGGTTTCTTTGTTTAGCAGTACACTGGATACTTTTCCAGACAGCCTTCTGGTCTCTGTTTTGATCTAATCTGAGCCAAAAACTACTGAGGCAGCTCAATAATTACTTGGGATGAAATAATGAGTACTTTGAAGGCCTATAGATACATCTAGGCCAAAGTCCAACATGAGTTTTCAATGATGATTACGGTCTGGTTCCATTCACAATATAATTTTGGGAGAGATCCCATGATAAGCATGTCACTTTTAACTCTGTTATCTGCAGCTCTTGGAAGCTGAAGAAGTTGTAGATGGTCCTGTGCAATGAAAGTATCACACAGACATGGGACCTTTCAACACAGAAGTTTTGGCCACATGGCCCAGCACAACTCATGCATGCATTCCTCTACCTCTCTAAAACCAGAGAACACAGAACTACTGTGCCAGCAGTTGTGCCTAGACTTATCTAGGAAAGCACCATCAGGGCCAAAATGATACCAAGAAATGCTGGCAATGAAGCAATATGAAGGAGAGCAGTTTACTGCACCAACCTGGGTGTTGGCTCGATATTATTTACTAATATATCTATAGCCTACTCTTAACCACAGGGCACACCCACATTAAGAAATCCCATTGTGACAGCAATCCATCCCCCTGAGTTTGAGATGAGACTTATCCAAATCATTGCAAAGCTGCCAGGATCTTGCCAGTGCCAGGTATCACCCTCCCAGTCTCCACCAGGGTGGAAAGTGGTACAGGGCATGCTCCTGATCAGACCCCAAATGCCTGAGAACAGTTTCAGCACACTGCACTTTGCCAGCATGGAGGTGGTCACATAGGTGTCCACAAAGGCCATTTAAAATAGCATTTTAAAGTAGCTCCAGTAATCCATACACCTGACTCAAAATGTCAGTTGTCAATGCAGAAGGAATGGAGAGGCCCCAGATGAACTCTCCAGGAAGCTTTATGGGCTCCCTCATGCTTAGCTATGTTACATCCAAATGCTGGAATGAGTCATGGTGTATTTGTAAGATTCTTCTGTTCTATTAAAGTCCAAGACATGATACAGCATCTCCATTTCTCATTTCTGTAGGAATTCCTCTCTTACCTAATAAACAGTCTCTTTTGAAATCTATTGAAGTATTAAAAGCCATAATGACCTACATCTCACACTGGCTAAGAATCTGATATTGTATTATAGCTGAACCTCTATTAAAATCAATGGTGGCACTAAAGTTAGCATATCTTTGCCAATTTACTCAAGATAACCCACATAAAAATATAGCAGCAAACTGAAAAAATGAATGAGTGATTTTTTTCAGTTATGTATTGAAGGTAATCTGTATTTAACATTTTTCATGCAGCTAGGTTAATACCTTCAGACAGAAACAACTGCCATCTGTAAAAAGGGTGTTTTTCTTTGCAAAGTGCATATTCAGAAAATGTGCAGCAACATGTGATGTATATGTAAAAAGATGCAACAATACATTTTATCTGGAAGCAGTCTAAAAGCTTGATCCTGCAGTAAGCTACTCACAGGCACGTGAGAGAACAACCCACATAATTCAAAAGGACACAGAAAGCAAGTGCCATAACCCCTCGAAAGTTAAGAAAGTCTCGTCTTGCCCACTTGCAGTGCAAGGAGGGTGATGCAACAGTTTTGTAGAAGTAGACAGAGCCCAGTTCCCCATTCTTTCTTTGCCCAGCTCCCTCCTACCGCATTCTCGTGTTGGCCCCCGAGGGCCAGCAGCTTGGTGACCGGGCTGTCCCCGGCGCTGGCGGGGGCCATGGGGCCGCCCCGCAGGATGGAGGCCACCCCCAGCGGCTGCGCTGCGTGCGACAGCGCCTGGCTGGACAGCTTGGTGTCGAGGGTCAGGTACTGCTTCACCTGGTGCCTCTGGCTCTGCTGTATGTGGTATCTAGACTGATTTTCCAAGTGTGTTTGTACCTGGGAAGGAAAAGAAATGATTGCTGAAGTTTCAAGTTGTTAGTATCAGGATTTATGCATATACTCACTTAAAAATATTTCAAATCAATAGATTCAGCTTTAATAACACTTGGATAGAATTATTACTTTTTTCATTTTTACACACTTACATATTTTTTATTTCTTTACCATTTTCCCCTTACACGGGTGAACAAACACTCTGAATAATTATGAAGAAAAACAGAATTAGAAAAGGTAACCATGTTCCTGAGAAAAGACCAGAAATATGCTACACATTTTTTTCAGTTAAAAGTGATCTCTCTTGAGATCACTGCAATCAAATCCACATGCATATATGAACCCTAAAATTAATATTGACTCTTTTGTACATGAAAGAGTAAATAAATGCACAGAGAAATATCATCCAACCAACTTTAAATAACAGCAGTAGACCTTTATTCACACCTCAATCCTCAATTGTCTCACCTGGTAATAAGTACAGTCACTAAAATGAGGCATTGCTGTAGTTTGGCAATAGAGTCCAAGCTGTAGTTCTGAATTACTGTTTACTATCCACAAGCTGTGCAGACTTCTTGGAGTGCCTCTTGAGGACAGATCACTTTTTTAGTGGATTGAGCTTCATAAACTGAGTGATCATGCCAAAATGGCCGATTGAGTAAGAATTTGGGTCATCCTTTGATTGTAGGGATTGACAGTTGCCACTTCACACAGCTCCCCTTTCAGATCAATGTCACATTTCTGCAATTTAACTACCAGAGGAGCACTTCATACACAAACCTTACTGTCAGTTCAGCCCTGTGGCTCTCTTCTCTTCCTATGGCATGACTGGTAACAAATGTCTTATCATAAATTTTTCTCAAGTGGCCTTTGTAAGCATGATTAATATTTGTTAAATAATAGCAAAAATTGCTTTGAAAACTTTGAAGACTTTTTTTCTGAAAAATATTTAGTCATTCAAGCAAACTTCTTTTTGATTCCCCTAAAATACATAAGCAGAGATAGATAGCCATAAAAGCAATTTTCATCTGAAGAAGTCATGTTTTTGTACATATTGCAGTACCTACTTTATTTTAATCGTTCCAGTATAATTTTAATTATGTTTCTTTAAACTAATTTCTTTAAACTAAATTCATATAAAAAAGACTAAGCCATGCAGTAATGAATATGAGATTAATTACTTTGATGTAAACAAACCCAAAAGTTATTAAATAATATTCCATTAAAATACTGGTATAAGATCTTAAGTACACTGTTTGGATTTTCCCCTGATTTATGTCAGGAAGGTATGAATAATATATAAGGTTGCAAAAATTTCATGTATATTTGGGATTTACTTACATCATTATTTGTCTTAACTTAGATTTTTGTGATAGTTTTAGAAAGTGTGTAATGCCCTGTTAGTTTAAGTTCTAATTTATCATGTGTAAGGATACATGTAAAATCGTAAATAATTCAGATACTTATGCATCTATTTAGTCCTTCATAATTAAGATCATAATGAAAATTAGATACTCAAGCATTTTCTTAAATGACAATCCAATGTAATCTATTGTGTGCCAGTTAAACCATAATATTATTTTTGAGTAAAATCAAATATATTAAGGGAAAACAAATATGTCCCATTGGATGGCTGGAGCAAGGATTCTCTGCACTCTCAGTGTCTGCTGCTCTTTCAGAAGCTTTCATGGACAATTCATGATTGTGCTGGACTCTACACCCACTGACAGAATCCACACGGGGTGACACTGCCCAGAGCCTTGCAGCACCTAAACTGATGAAAATCTTTCCAGCAGCACAGAACTCTGCAGTCAGCAGCTTTGAAAACACAGATTCTTTATGTGGCATAAATGGGAGTTGGATAACACACAGGCCACAATCGCATTTACTGCATTTCACCCCTACTAATTTTTTATCTCTAATGAAGCTGTTGAAGTCCTTGTAACAAGCAATGAATTTCTGCCTTAGAATTTCTACAGGGCTACCTGAAGCATAAAATCAAGCATATTGTATACCTTCAAATTAAATGGGAAACATAAGAAAATTGCAGTGTCCAAGATCTATACTACCTTGTTTTAAATGTGTTTTAATAAGGAATTTTTATAGATCTGCTACAAGAAAACTGCTGAAAAGTCAATGGCTTGGGTTTTTTTTTTCCTCTGGGCTGCAGATTGCTAGTGGGAGACCAAAATCTCTCTGCATCCTGTTTTCTTAGTGAACCACCACAGGGCCATCCCACTGGGCAAAGGGAAGATCTGTGTAAGACATTCAGCTAACTGCTGATTAGGTAAAAAACAGTTTTCAGAAGTGCTTATTTAGTGTGATAATCTTTCAGTGATTATATCCTGTCCTGAACTTACACAGGCAGAAAAAGAACTAAAGCTTTGCTGACAGGATCTATGTTGCTGTGGTTTTGCAAACCCCTCCACCCCTTTACTGTGCCAGTCACAGTCATTACAAAGCAGAATCTTTGAGGTTAAAAATAGATCTATGCCCTGATTTTCATCTTCATATAGTCTAAATAACTCTTAATACTCACTACTAAAGTAAAGCACTTTTAAAACTCAAACCACAATGTAAAGACAAAGCAGAATGGGAAACCTATTTTTAAAATCATATTGTTAATGTACAATAAAAGTGGACTGGGGGGGAGGGGAAATTCATACTGTGAGAAAGGAATACTGAGATTTCAAGTCAAGTTCTTCAAAAGTAGAACTTATTTTTAGAACTGTCCATATAATATGTGTGAACTAGGAGTAAAAACTCAAATCCTCATAATTTTATAAAACCAGATAGTCCAGTGTCTCATTCCAAGCATGACTGATTTATCCTCCATTGGGATGTTGAATGACTTCTTTTATATCTTTTATCAGCGGTATGAAGGTAAGTTTCAACTTAGATTTTCTGAATATTGCAGATGACTTTAACTCTTTTAAGTAAGTATTGCAAAAATCGCAAATGTTAAACTTTGACCTGATTTTGAGTTTCCTTTTAATGATGCACAAGAAGCATTTAAGCACTGGCACACACAGTTGCCCTGAGAGGCTGTGGAATTCTCCATCCGTGGAGATTTTCAACACTTTTCTGGACAAGGCCCTGAGAACCTGAAGAAGCAAAAGAAATCTAAAAAGAGACAGGGAAATTTGAATTGATCATCTGCATATAGAAAATATAAATAACCATTATCAAGTCTGGTGAAAAAAGCATGGTGTCAGGTTAGAAGTTCAGTAAAATAAATGCAAAAAAGCAAAAGACTGAAAGATCAGTTCCACATAAAGTAATCTCACAAGTAAAATAACCAAGATCAACATAGACTTAGCTGCTTAGAGACCTTAATCATGGGCATGTTTTAGAGCCACAAAACACAATCCTTCTTAAAAAAAAAAAAAGAAAAAGAAAAAATATTTTCCAGAGTAGAAGAATTTTTAATTTTTTCCCAATAATCCTAATATGATATACTCCAGCAGTGCCAGGAGACCAGTTTTTCACTTTAGAATCTTTTGTGGAATTCCCATAATCTGTGACAATATTTTACCAGAGTTTATGTGGAATTTTAAGATTCAGATGTTGATGCTTATGCACTTTTTACTGCCACAACAGTCTGAATATAGGGTTACCTTCTTTTTTTTTGTCTCTGTGGGTCAATGAATATTTAGTCCTTTGTTTAAAGCAGTAAAGCATGAAGGAAGACCCTGAAATGCTTTCAGGACAGTGTATCCAATAATCTGGCACATCTATGGAACCTGGATTCACATCTCTGACAAAAATTAAGCAGTGTGATTTGATAAAGCAGATCTTCGAGCTCTCAGCAGACCATTTTCTATTAAATGCCTTTCTGCCATCCTATTGTTTTGTGAGATGGATGGCCTTGCTTGTTGGTATGCCTGATTTCTATTAATAGCTAGCAAAAGATGGGCACTCAGTGACCACCTAATGATCCAGACCCTGACTCAGACAAACCTCAGACACAGCCCAGGACTTAGTGTTGTTCTACTGGTACCTCTGCTCTAGCCCATGGTGTAGTGGCTTCCCTGGCCCTTCCTGCCAAGTGCCCCTGATAGCACATCTGTAACGTGTAGCAAGGTGATGAATTTGTGCAGATGAAGGGCTGGTTCTCCTCCCAGATATTGCCCTGCAGCAGCTCTAGCAATGTACTGTAAATGCTAATTATCTAAGATTATTTGAGGAATGAAGGACAGCATAAAACCTAGCAGTTAATAGATTATCCACTCCCTTCTAGGCACTGCTTTGGTTTAATATCTGGCTTTCCTGAACACGGTGAATTTAAAGTCTACTCAGAACCAGAAACTTCAAGCATGAAGGGACTCAAAAGCCTCCAACACAAATGCAAATATTATAACTCCACCAGTTCCACAAAGCCAAAACAGAAATTAAAACTTTGAGATGGATTTTTTAATCCAGAAAAAGATCCCAGTGCACAGGAAACTGACTGTACCTATTTCTATTTTATATCTCACTGACAAGCCAGTTCTGGGAACAAGAATATAACAGCCTTTCAGAATTACAGATGCATATTCAGACTTCTTCAATTGCTCTTTCTAATTTGAGCACACATCATCATGTTGTAACACTGCAGTACAGTTGTGTAACATCTTTTCCCATATTGACATTGTTTGCTTTCATTTCTAATATGTTGCACAATGGCATAGCTAGACTTTCAGTAGTTTATTACATAAACTGTTTTATTTCACAATTTGCTGATGGATTTTTTCTTCTGCTAGTAAAAGAATATATAGAATGTCAAATTTAAGAAAAAGTAGCTATTTAGGGGACCTAAAGAAGGAATGAACAATGCCACTAATTCCATTAAGCAGTAGTGCTACATCTTTCTAGGTGTAGAAAGATGTTCTTCCACTAAGAGCAAGCAGATGACATCTGTATTCCCAGGCTGCTTAGCCCAACATCATTCCCAAGAGAAATAATAGGAAAACTGAAAAGAGATTCAATTAATAAATTATTAAAATATAGGAATATAATTAATG